GCAATTTTTAAAGGGATTCCAAACTCCCAACACATGTTGTGTTCATGTTAAAGATAATGTTAAAAAAAAAGGTTTGAACAAAGTTTTTTTGTTTAAAAATAAATAAAGAATGCATACCAAGAAAAACTAATATTGTTGTTATAGCCGAAGCTCGCCTTCTCCATTTTTTTCAATAACTCGGAGTCTTCAAATTATACGTCGCAATCTACAGACTGGCGATTCCTTTGAAGCGCGTTTAGTTCATAAAAGTTTTAGTATTTGACATCACAGTAGACTTATAACAAATGAGACTCTGAAATATTTTTATTCAAATTTTTTTTGACTATTTGTTTAGTTTTTTTTCTTTCTATTTTTAACATTTGAAAAGATATTAAAAACCTCAAATATTTTATGCTGGTTCGTTGCTATAAATTGCTATTGCGCCATATATTTAATGTTTATAAATTATGATTATTTATTATCTCAATCAAGACTCTGAGAAAAAATTGTTTTACATTAATTACCCGTATAAAATTAGTAACAGCATTTTTATTTGGTTAGACGATATTTCGTTTCAATTTGCTTTGCATGAAGTTCGAAAAGTCAAACAAAAAAAAAATTAGTTTAAATAATCATGTCAAAATATAAAACAAATGATATAAATGACGGGGATTCTAAAGTTTTTTATAACAAATGTAGGTAAAAAATAAAAAACTAAATAAAAAGTTCAACATTAAACATCATTTCTTTATTATAGTGCAACTGTAAAGATTGAAATATTAACTTGAACTAAATTTACTTATTATTTAGAACGACTAAACAATAAAAATAAAACGCCCCTAAAATTATGCGTTATTGTGTTGTTTATTTGATAATTGTTGTTGGTAATGTTGTTTACGTTGATCATTTTCATTAATATCAAAATAGTTCCAGATTAATCTGTTAGTTGCTTTGCTCATTGGTGATTTATTTCTAATTTAATTTAATCTCAAAGTCTTTTATAATTTTATGTTAAAAAAGAAAAGTTTTTATTTCATCGCGCGCTCTTTTTATAAAAGAAAAGTACAAAAGAGAAGAAAAGTTTCGCGTAATTAGACTTTGAATGAATAAGAGTTGTATTGAATGTATATATTTTTTTGCGTCACTCGTTCTTTTTTTAGATGAGAGAAATAAAAGTTTAGTCCTAACTTTTCTTTGAATAAATGAGAATTAGAAGAGAAAATTGCTTGAAAATTTGTATTTGTATATTGTGTTTTTAAAATTTTTTAATTTTTCATGTTAAGAGACAATTGCTAAATACGACACAAATTGGGAAATACCAAATATAATATGTTTTTTAATGTGCGTTATGTAATTTTGGCAATTTAAATTACCATCTATCTTGAATTATTGCCATTAATTAATGTGTTCATTATTGTGTTATTTAATAATAATTTGTCCTAATTTTTTTTTAATATTAGTTGTATAAAACGGGCGAAAATATATGAACTTCATGTTTTTAATTTGATGGTTATAAAATATTGAACAGTAAACTTGTAATCGAAATTTATAATGCTGACTTGTGTTGCTATTAATTGTACTTTTAATGCAAAATCAGGATCTCACATATTCTTTCACAAATTTTCATATCTGATACTACTGTCAACTGTATTGTTTAGTGTATTCTTGTACTTTTGTTTTCATAACCTTAACATGTTCTAATTGGTATTACAGGTTTTAATTGCTGACATTTCATTATCAAAAATCAAACGTAAAATAAAATGATATTTCCTTTTTATCCATATCCAATTCAGCAAATTTAGCAATTTAAAATTAATCAGCGTAATCAAAAAAATTTTATAATAAAAAAAAGTTTACAATTCATCAAATATCTCTAATTAATACTGTCAGTTTATGAAATTAATTGTTAATAAATACCTTTTTTCGACGGGAAAACAAAAAATATAGCGTAAAAATAACCAGAGAAGTTAGAAAAAAGTTCCCATTGTTTAAATAAAAATAAATAAGAGTCAGAATATGTAATACTGCCCTCTCTTGCACAAAAACAAGAGACCGTATATACAACGTTCTATATAATGTAAAATACTCGTATGAAAATCATAAGATTGGTAAGTAAAGTTTTAATATTTGTTTTAATTTTAAAACAATAGAAATATAAGTAAGATATATAAATCTAAATATTATTAAGATTTCTGTAAAAAATAAGTTGCTCCTATAAAATAAAAATAATTTATTGTTTTTACTTTTTACAAAAATTTTTTTGCGATGTTTTGAAAAATAATACAAATAAATTTGTTTTGCTGTATGTTAAAAAAATACTACATCGTACTTTTTGAATTAAAATAGAAAAACGCAGCTTTGTGTAATTACACTTTTCATTTGTTAAGAGTCTACCGTGACGTCAAATATTAAAACTTTTATGAACTAAACGCGCTTCAAAGGAATTGTCAAAGTCTGTAGATATAATAACAATATAATAGCGATGTATAATTTGAAGACTCCGAGTTATTGAAAAAAATGGAGAAGGCGAGCTTCGGCTAAAACAACAAGATTAGTTTTTCTCGGTATGCATTCATTATTTATTTTTAATAAAAAAAACTTTGTTCAAACCTTTTTTTTTAACATTATCTTTAATATAAACACAACATGTGTTGGGAGTTTGGGATCCCTTTAAAGATTTAGAACTGTTTAGCAGCATAATTTTAAACCCCAAAGTATGATAATGTAGTGACAAGTAGAAATAAGAAAGCTATTACCATTGATAACCTTAATTTCATTAAAATTAATGCTAGATTAGGATATAAATTGATTTCTTAACTTAGTTTGAATCCCATGTCTAAATCATAAATCCAGACATATGCTTCTAAAAGATCAAAGATCGACAATATTCAAATTTTTGAGATATAGTGGTAGTGTGTGGTGGCCAATAAGCACTGAACACAGTTTGATGAAATTTTATCCAGAAGCTGTCTCAAATTGTTAATTTTTTTTCAATGATAATTTTTGCCACAATTTTCTATAATAGTTATATCTATTTCAGGTTGATTAAAATATGATTTTAATGTAGAATCAGATGTTTAATGTGGAATCAGTTTTTTTATTGTGTTATTGGTATTCTTTTTTTTTTGCAGCAGATGCTCCTTTATCAAATACTTCTCTGTGTTATTTTTTATGTTCTTGTTTTATATATATATATATATATATATATATATATATATATATATATATATATATATATATATATATATATATATATATATATATATACATATATATATATATATATATATATATATATATATATATATATATATATATATATATATATATATATATATATATATATATATATACATGTATATATATTTTTTTTAAACATCTTTGCTTCCAACAAGGCTGCAAGCAACCACTAATTAGTGTTGCAAGTTACTGGAAGAGAAAAGATGAAGATTGTAGAGCAAGATAATGATTGACAGATGACTTTAAAGATTACAAATTATATGAATCAGGAAAGCAAGATGAAGGAAGCGAATTCCAAAAAACTGATGTTCGAGGAAAAAAACTAGACGAGTAAGAGTTTTTAAAGCACTTAGGAAGAGTAACAGAAAAAGTACGAGACTTAATTGAATGACGAGTAACACGAAAATAAATTTTTGTAGATGGCACAAGAGACACTAGCTCTTTAGAGCAGTGCCCATTATAGTATTAGTAGAAAAGAGAAAGAGAAGCAACATTACGACGATGTGACAGAGGTTGAAGGTTGGCTGCAAGAGCAGGCCCAACTATGTTTACAATGCGTTTTTGCACCTTGTCTAAAAGAAAAAGGGCATCATTAGAAGATCCGCCCCAGATATGGCAACAGTATTTCATACAAGGCCGGATTTCAGATTTATAGAGATAGAGAATAGAATCTAGAGTAAGAAAGTGTCAAGCTCGATAAAGAGAAGCAACTTTAGCAGATGCTAATTTTGCAACGGATTTGATATAAGGTTTCCAAGAAAGATCAGAAGTAAGAGTTAATCCTAGAAGATAAAGGGTAGGAGACTCATCAAGTACATTACCATTTATAAAAATAGAAAGGTCTAAATTATTGCGATAATGATTGGCTGAAAAAAATTGAGTTTTATCTGAATTAATGTTCACCAGCCACTGTGAACCCCATGCTGTAGCAGAAGTGAGGTCCTTTTCAAGCTCAGATGCCCCCTGCAAGCAATCAGAAGAAGTTGGCCATTTATCGTGACAAGAATAAATAGTAGTATCATCAGCAAACAATGCCACCTTAGATGTGAGAATATCTGGAAGATCGTTAATGTAAATTAAAAAGAGTATAGGGCCAAGGATTGAACCTTGAGGCATCCCTGAGGTTACAGAATAAGAAGAAGAGTCCTGTCCATCAAAGACAACTTTTATACTACGATTGGAAAGGAAGGATTCAATAATCTTAAAGATTTTCCAGATACACCGTATCTGGAAAATCTTTTCCAGAAGAAAGCATATGGAGAAGACCAGCATGCCAAATTTTATCAAACGCTTTAGAAATGTCAAGAGCGATGGCTTAAACCTCTCCACCTTTATCTAATGCGCGATAAAATATATATATATAAAATATAATATATATAATATATATATATATATATACATACATACATATATATATATATATATATATATATATATATATATATATATATATATATATATATATATATATATATATATATATATATATATATATATATATATATATATATATAAAGGTGTTTAAAAGTGCAAATATGTTTATAGTTATTATTTATTAAATAACTTTTCAATAAACCTTTTTGACATGGAAATTTTATATAGTTGGTTTGCTGGATTTTTTTTTGTCAGAAAGCAAATAGTTATGCTTTTTTTAATTTTTATTAAAAGAAACAAGTTTTTATAAAGAATTTTAAAAATATAAGAAAATAAATATAAATGCTTTAAAAATTGAATATTTAGCGACATTATATTTATGATTTAAATGTTTATCATATTATTAGACTCAAGGTATGGAAGGTTACTGTTTTATACAATTTCAAGACAACAACACTGCTTGTCAAGCTATGACTTTTCTTAATGGAAGGGACTTTTGTGGAAAAGTAAGTTTTTTTTTTAAATTAAAAACATTTTCCTTTATATTTCAAACTAATAAGTAATTTAAAATTTAAAAAAATCTGAAAAAAAAATCTTGAACACTGACCTTGTACAACTAACTTCATGAATATTAAGAATGAATATGAAGAAATCTTGACCTTGCAGCCTTTGAAATTAGGAAAAATAAAGTCGGACAAAAATTGCTAACTATTTTAGGTCAATATTAGAGGTGTGCCGGATATGATATGTGACCGGATAATCTGGAAAAATACCGGGTAATCTGGTATCTGTTATCCAGCCGGATACATCATATAACCCTGAAAGGCTTTATTACAAATAAAAATAACAGTTACAATAACTTAAAAATGTTAAAAGTATAATATATTATACTATATAATATATAAGTAGTATATAGTATAATATATTATACTATATACTACTTATAGTATAATATATATATATATATATATATATATATATATATATATATATATATATATATATATATATATATATATATATATATATATATATATATATATATTATACTATATATATATATATATATATATATATATATATATATATATATATATATATATATATATATATATATATATATATATATATATATATATGTATATATATATATATATATATATATATATATATATATATATATATATACACATATACATAAACACATAAATAAGCTAAATTTGCTATAGATAAAATGTTAACTTTTATATAAAAGTTAACATTTTTTAAGTTTGTTATTTTCAAACTTAGTCGTATATATCTATAGTAAGTATGTTATATCTTATGTAGTTTTAGTAGTTAAATCTCAATAATAATTATTTATTACATATAAATAGCGTAAGCGGCCGTCCATAAAGTCTATTTATGACCCCTCCGTACTTGTGTGATACCCCCTCTTGTCTTTATTTCCTCTTATTTATCTTGACCTCCCTTTTGCGTAACATTATTTATAGATGTAATATTTGCAACCTAAAGCTTATTAAAATTTTAAAAATAATTGTTCCAAATAAAAAATTCTATATTTAGCTTTAACTAAAGTAGTGTAGGCTACTTTAGTTTGGCTAAATATAGAATTTTTTCGTAGAAACCGGGTAGGCAGCAGAGGCATTTTCCCCCCAATAATTTTTCAAATAATAATATTGAAGAAATTGACTTAAATAAAGACTTGGAAAAAAAAAGAAGGTCCTTAAAACTATTTGGGGGTAGTACTCCCCCCCCCCCTAATATAATTTTTGTTCCTACGGCCCTGTTACACCCATACTGAAATTCTTCTATTTTAAAAATTCCTAGAATTCCTACATAGAGATGCCATTTTAAACCTGTCGGTCACGGCAACATTAAGGGGGTATCACTAAAAGAGGGGGCTCCTCTAGAAACCTTGTCCCCTCTTATTCTTTTACAATATTTGACATATCGGGTATATGCGGCATATCCGGCCGGATATATAAATTTATATCCGACATATCCTTATCCAGCCGGATATGTATAAAGTCATATCCGGTACACCTCTAGTCAATATCAGGTCAGAAAAAATATTAAAGAGGGTTCAAAAAATCAGTAAACATGAAAATTTAGCATCAAAATAAAAGAAAATTTAGCGCTTATTCTGCCAACTGTCAATCAAAAGTCAACATTAGTTTAAAAATTTGACAAGTAATAAAGTATTAATTTTGCTTTTATTTTGATTTTATTTAGAATTAATAAAAATGTTTTTCCACTTTTTATTTTAATTATTTTGTTTACAATTTAAAAACATTTGTTTTTTCTGTTTTTATTTCAATTGTTTGAATAAAGGATTTGAATAAAGCGTTAGTTTTTCCTTTTCTTTTTTTTTTTTTTTTTTTTTTTTTTTTGATTTTATTGTATTATTTTATTTAAAATTTATCAAAAAAGTTCTTTTTTTTTCATTTTTATCCATTAACTATTTATAACAATTTAATTTAAAATTGAATGTAATTTTGTTTTATTCTTTTTATGTAAAATTAAATTCTAAATAAAGTAAATAAACTAAAAACAAATCAATTTTCAAAATACAACATTTTTAACGTTGTGTTATTTTGATTAATTTGTTCAGAATTTAAATAAAAAGTTTGTTTCATCGTTTTTATTTTATTATTTTATTTAGAATGGAAAAAAACGTTTGTTTTGCCTTTTTTTTTTTATTGAAAATTTAAATAAAATGTCCATTTTTTTTGTTTTTTCTATAACTTTATTTAGAATTTAAATAAAAAGTTTGTTTTGCAGTTTTTATTTTATGTAGAATTTAAACAAAATATTTGTTGTGCTGTTTTTTAATTTGTTTGAAACAGCAAATAAAAGTTTTGAAATTCTGAGTTTGGCAAAAAACTGACAGACAATGACAGGTCGACAAACCTGACCTGACATAGTCTGACATAATATTTTAGTAGCGTACTTAGTTTAGTTTTTTGGTTTTGGTGATTTGGTCTTGATGTTAAACCTTAACTTACAGTATATTGTGCTTTATTTGAATTGTTTCAAAACATTTTTTCGCAGTAAACACATGTGGGTGTCCTTTTACCAAATAAAATTTATACAACATGAAATAATTGCTAAATGGTATACAAAGCCAAAGTTGAAGTTAGGCGGTTAATTTGTATTTCTTATTTTATTACAAAAATTTCTAGAACCATTCTTCAAGCTGGTGTATCTGAGGTATCTTAGATATTAGATACCAAATATCTTAGTTAATAAAAATAATAAAATTTGCAAGTTTCGCTTGTTGCTATTAATGGTTTCCTTAAACAAAAAGATTAGCAATAAAAATTATCGTTAAGATAAAAATGGAATATTTTTTTTCCTGACTTTGAATCAGTATTTATGGTCTTTAAAGTGCAGGAGCTTCAAAAATATTAGAAAATTTATGAGAAAATTAAAAAAACTGATATATATATATATATATATATATATATATATATATATTATATATATATATATATATATATATATATATATATATATATATATATATATATATATGACATGTTTGCATAAATACCTAATATTTTCAGAAAGTAAAAGTGAATTGGGCAACAAATTCAACAAATGGTGGTTTACCTAAAGTAATTGGTTGTAAGTTGATTTTAATTATTTTATTGTAATATTTTATCAACAGCATTTATTACATTAAATTTAATATACTATTATACTATACTTTAATATATCTAATATACTAATAAATGTAATATTTATTGGATGGATTAATTAACTTTAGTTGTTATTATTTATTTGTAATTATAGATGCTATTTACTATTAAAAAAAGTTAATAAACCCATCCCTAAAATTTGAACTTGAAGATCAAAAGCGTAAATTTTTGACCAAGTATAATTGTAACATTTATGTACTTATGCATTAAGTTATATTTGTTGAACCTTTTTAATAATGCCTTTTTAAAAGTATTGTTTGGATAAGTGCAAATATTCTTAGTTTTACAGAAGATTATCATATTTCCTTGTTACCAAAATAGTGAGGTCAGAAGATTTCAAGATTTTATAAGATTTTGGTTTTATTTAGAACTTGGCAAACATTTGCCTGTTGAACTCGCAACCTGGCATATCCAGATCACTTACGAACAAAACGTGAATTCTTTATATTTGTCATTTTCTTTTCTTTTTATTTGTTTTTAAACTTTTTTTTTTCTTTTTATTATGTTTACTATAATTTATGAGTCTTTCTAAGAATTAATAAGGGAAACTGCACTTTAGATGTTAGGTTTTCCTTGTAAAAAATGTATTGGTTATTTTATTTAAACTGCCTTTAGATTTTAATTTTGATTTATCTATAAATTAAAAAAGTTTACTTAATTTATTTGAACACATAGCTTTGTTAGTATTAGAATAATAATGATTTATGCATTTTAACGATGGTTAATTAAACATGGTAATATTGGTGTTTCAATGGTTTTGGTAATAATGGAGTTTTAATGGTTTATGAATAAATATAAGTTTTAAACTTTGTTCCTCCTCTAGCGACAATCTGCCTCAAAAAACGTCCAACCATTATTAATTTTGTCTGGGGGAAATGATTAGTGTTTTGTCCAATGTTTAGTATTTATTTCAAGATGTTTTTAAAATGTAAAATGGTGGTTTGTTTTAGTATGTTAAATGGTGGTTTGTTTTAATATGTAAAATGGTGGTTTTAATATGTAAAATGGTGGTTTGTTTTAATATGTTAAATGGTGGATTGTTTTAATATGTAAAATAGTGGTTTGTTTTAATATGTAAAATGGTGGTTTGTTTTAATATGTAAAATGGTGGTTTGTTTTAATATTTGTATAAAGATTATTTAATTAGTCTTTGAATCTGTGTTAAAAATAAATGTGTTTTAATTGTGTCTTATTAAAATAACCTTTTGATTTATCTATACAGCAAGCATGAATTAATTTTTTTTTGTTTAAATTAATTATATAACGGTTAAATTTAATATACTTAAAACTATTTGACTTGATTTGGTTGATGATCAATTTGGGTAAAGTTAAAAGGGTTAAAAAACCATGATAAAATAAAAATTGGAGTTAATATTTTATAGTTCTATTCTTCCTAAAATGTAATTTTAGCTATTTTGATCACTAGAAAACATGGGGTTGAACAGGTTTGATGTAAATACAAATTCAAAAACTTTGGTTTTTTATTCCTTATTCAAATTCAATATTGTTCTATTTTCAATATGTAAGTTTCATAAATAAAAGTATTTAAATTATTATTTTTTTTAATTTGAAGTCTTGTCAGTCAGACTTAATGTGCTGGTTCAAAATCCTGTAGGGTCAACACCTTATCAGGAAACATCACCCGGGCTCCTTTATCATACAGCAGCTTAAGGACCTGTTGTCAGTAAACATACTTCATTTTGATTTTTAAAGTGATAAATACCAGTGGAGTCTTCTTGTGTCCTTGCCCAAGCCACTGTAGATAGTGGATGAGCATGTCAAGAAATGACTCCTGGATTCTTTTTGTTATATTTGTTTTATAGTTGCTTGACAGTGAGTCATAACTCATCGTGCAAATTGATGTAAATAAGCAGAAGAGCAGTATTCTTCAAGTCATTACAAGTTTTTTTCCAAAAATATTTTCTCGGAATTCTTCAAGTTATTACAATTTTTTTTTAAAAAGATGCCAAGATTAACAAAGTTTTGAGTAAAGAAATAAGTTAGAGAAACAAATTTATCTTTGTTTTTCTTCAGATAAGGTTCTTAGATATAAATTACATAAACTCTGGTTATGTTTTTAAATTCTTTTTAATGTTTAATACTCTTTAGCTTCTTTCTTTCCATCCAACTTCTCAATTTAAAAACTTATTTAACAATTTTCATTAAGCCTTAGCTACACTCAAAATTGTATTAATGTTAAAAATTTTGTAAACTTCTTTTTGTTTAGCTAGCATAACAATATTTGTTGGAGACCTTGATGATGATCTAACAGACAGTGAACTTCGCCAGGCCTTTGAGCCATTTGGTGAAATACTGTAAGTTTTTATTGGTCCATAAACTTGTTATATACATAATCATATTCATTCATTTCTTTTTCCTATATCCCAAAAAAATATGTGCTACAAATATAAATAAAGGCAATTTCATTTATTTATTTTTGACAGTTAAATGGTGATTAGTGTGTTAATTGTCTGCGTATGGTGCATGAAATATGAGTGAAGTGTGAATGGTGGCTGGTTTAACGCCAAGCACACCTTGATTTTTTGACTAATATAATGATATATATATTGTAGATCAAACATCCAAGACATCTGAGAATCCTTCGAGTAAAGAGTTTTTACTTACTATTTTCCTTTTTCTTTTTCCGCCCATTTTCATTTTTCATTTTTAAACGTATTTGCTTCAATATTTTAGAAAAAATATCAAGCAAAAAAAAAATTATCTTTTAGCAACGCTAAAGTAGTCAGAGATGCAGCAACTGAAAAAAGTAAAAACTATGGCTTTATTTCTTTCACTAACAAACCAGTGAGTTGTTTTTCTTTCTTTGTTTAGATATTTTCAAAGACTTATTCTTTTGTTAACTTATTCTTTTGTTATAGGATGCAGAACGAGCAATACGAGATATGCATGGTGCAATGTTAAAGCGTCGACCTATCAAAACTAATTGGGCCACTAGGAACCAAAATTCAAAACCAAGTAGTTTTTTTAATACTGAATTGTTTGTATAAGTTTTTAATTTTTTATGCATTTGTATACTAAACTCATATTGACTTGCGAGTTATTCTGTTTTCCACTGGTTACGATTTTAAAAGGATTTCAGATTTTTTTTGTAAACAATTTATTTATATTATAATGTAATGGCACATACTTTTCTTCAGAAAATAAACATCAACTGAATCAAGACTAATGCCTTATGAGGAAAATTCATTTGGTAAATAACAAAAATACATAAAAAATAGACACAAAAATATAGGCATAGCACCTAGTCAAACAAACTACTCTTTTAGAATTAAACTTTTTTAATTGTTGCTAATTTTGTTTGTCAGAGTTTAGTTTTTCAATTGATTTATACCTTTTAATCATGTTTTCAAACAAGGCTTTTTAATTATTTATAAATAATATTTATATAATTAAGGTCAACTTGATTATGATCAAGTTTTCAAAGAGGTTAGCGAGTCAAATTGCACTGTGTATGTTACTAATCTTCCTGACAGAATATCAGGTAATTTTTTGTATTCTATTGGCAATATTAAATTTTTTCAGTTGTGGTAATGATATTAATCTGATCCTAATTTTTGAAGCATATGAGACTCCTTTTATGTGGTGAAGTCAACTTACCTTGGACAAGGAAAACCTGTACCTTGTACCATTCTTGTGAAAAATTATAGATAGATCTTTACTTAGTAAGTTATAAATATAAAAAAAATGATTGTATAATATATTATTTAGATGAAGTCTTAGTGAAACATTTTGAAGATTGTGGTAAGATTGTTGGAACCCCACGTGTATTTGATGGAAAAAACTTTGCTTTTATCAGGTTTTTTTTTTAGATTCATTATTTATCAGGTATATTTGAAATATATTTATTAGTTTAATCTATTTTTTTAACTATCATTTTGAAATTTGTTATTTTTATGGTGTCAAATAAAATTAAGTTTTGCATCTGAATTTTGAGATTTTTTATTTGTTGATTTTTTAGTTTAATAAATTCAATATTACAGTTTTGAAAAGTTTTGTTGATAGATTCATGTTATTAATTTAAAATTTTATTCTGGCAACTAATTTTTTGCTTTCTTTCCTTATAAGTTGGTCTGATTTTTTTTTCTTTTTTAATAAGCATGCATATCTCAGCTTTCATTTCTTTGAAAAGAGATAGTCTAGCCAAAGTTTGCACTTCAAAGTTCAAAAACCATTTTCACTGCATGTAAAAATAATTTGCTAAAATATAAATCTTTTTAAATTTAATCTATTTTGTACTAAAAAGCGAGAAATAAACTTTTTTAATTTAAAATTAATACCTCAGTAAACTAAAGATAGGTATATTCATGGTCCATTTTGAAACAGACCTGTCAATTTTTAGTATGCTGAATTATTATTTTTTTTGTTCTTTTTGATATCTCTGTGAACAACAGCATTTAAGTACAAATCAATCGAGAGAGAAATTCAGAATACAAGTTAATAACATTACTACATTATAAACAAATGATAATAAGAAAAACAAATGATAATAAGAATCTTATAGGTCAATATTGTAAAAGAAAAAGAAACGCTCCTAAAATCTTAATACTGCTTAATTTAGGTGAGCAGTGTGTTGTCATACTGAAATAGCCTGCTGCCAAGGGCTTCAGTACATATATCGACTGACAAATAGCCTGACTCGCAGTAGAATGCTGCTACATCAACTGAGGGTTTAAGATGGGGCAGCAATCTTTTCATTCATTATTCTTTGTTTTCTTCTTTTTCTAAAAAAGCTGTATCCATTTAGATAATGAAAAAAGTTAGATAATATGTTATAGTGTATATATATACATATTTATATATATATATATATATATATATATATATATATATATATATATATACATATTTATATATATATATATATATATATATATATATATATATCATTTAATGTAGTGTTGTATTAAAATAATACAAAATACTTATTCGTTAATATTTGTCATATATTACAAAATTAAAAATTTAATGTTAAAGTTACAATTAGAATTACGGTGGCGTGAGTTCTAATGACTCCATGGAAACAAAATTTTAAAAGTTTTGAAAGTATTACATGACGTAAACTTAACGTAAATCGACCAGGGTTAATCTTTGGTATCAAATGAGGAAATAAGGAACTTATTTTTGTGCCTACATTTCAAGATTATTTCACTCCTTGTATTAAGTAGGTTATCTCCTTTATACATCAAAACTAGAAACTTCTCGTTCAAACAGAGTTTGCAAACTCATGATGCTGGCAAATGGTGTTAAATCTGACTAAATGGTAAAGATGTAAAGTCTGACAATCTTCCATCTGACCAAAAGGTGTTGTTTATTTAGTATAATTAAGAATTGTTCTGCTTCTTGAGTGTTAGAAAATCTAGCGTGACTATTGTTGACATATCTTAGATAGGATTTTAGTTCAAGAGGAGGATTTACTTCCATTGCAATTTTGAAAGTGTTTTGTTCATGATGTTGTAAAAATGATTCTACAATTACAACCATGAATGAAAGACCTATAGGATCAGAATTCTCAAGTTCATGGATTTTGTTGTTCCACAGGAAATAACAACAGTGTAAACAAAGCTCTATGAGTTGTCTTGTTTCAGATTATAAACCACTGTGTTTTAAAATTTATATAAAATCAATATAAATTTCCTAAATATTGAGCACTTTCAACAAACAAGAGTCGTGTTATTTTTATACAACACTACATCAAACAATATAATTGCTCCATCAGTACTCGAATGTATTCACAGGATAGAGAAATTAAACTTTCAATACTCAATTAAAAATATCTCAATACTATCAGAGAAAGAATATATATTTTACAATTAATGGGAAAGACCAAAATGCTTATTAAAAGAATGAGGTGGAAAGCGCTTTTTTTCATTAACAAACAATCAAATGAAAAAGATTCTCCTGATTATGTAAACAACGGTATTAACTTTTCTAAAGGTCCTCCACAAATTAAGGAAATATGTGCTTTCAAAATTAATTTAATCTTGTTAAAACCATCAAATGTTTTTCAAGAAAAAATAGCAAATGATATAAAATCTATACAAACCTCAAAAAGTTTTAACTCTAGCCGACAAAACATTAAACATGTACAAGCTATCCAAAGATCAATACAATCATCTTCTTAATAATGCAATTACTTCCACGTATAAAAAGGCTGTTCCTAAACTCAAAGATCAAATAAATAAACAAGTTTGAAAAATCTTAATTAACCATGATCTACACAATAAAATTGAAATTAACAGTACCGCAGATTGTTTCATAACTCTAAAAGACCATAAAGAGAACTTCCTAGATAAACCAACTGTTAGACTTATTAATCCTGCTAAAAATGAGATTAGAAGAATTTTAAAATATATTTTATTCAATAGTAATTTTGAACTGAGAAAGAGACTGTTTTTTAAACAATAGCAAAACACTCAAAATGTTATACAAGAAACAAAATTGCTTTTCTTATATGTCAAACCATATAAGAAAAGCAATTTTTTTAGTTCTTAGACCTGGATGATCAATGAATCACCAAGTGTAATAAAAAGTATTTCTAAGACTATTGAATTAAGATTATCGGCATCATTAAGTGAATGGGTTTAAAGAAAGTATTACTCTTTTTTAAGAGGCCTTGAAAAAATCAGGGTACAATTGCGAACTTGCATACCATCCTAGTATAAAATTTACAAACGGCAATCATAAACACAAAATAATTTGGTATAATCCTCCTTTCAGTGTGAGTGTTGTAACAAAAATAGGTCAATGTTTTTTGAACCTCATCGACCTCCACTTTCCAGTTAACCATAGACTTCATTAAATATTTAATAGAAACACAATCAAAATAAGTTATTCCTGCTTGCTAAACATAAAATCCATTATCAACTCTCACAATAAAAGCATTTTACATAAGGAGGCAAAAACTAATGAAATGAAATGCAACTGCATTGAAAAATCCAAATGTCCTATGAACAACCATTGCCTTTCCAACAACATTGTTTATCAGGCCACCATCTATTAAAATAATCCTTAATATAAAGAAAAAGTGCATTTTGGACTCAGCGAAAGATCTTTTAAAGTTCGGGATACAAATCACTTTTAATCGTTTAATGCAATTAGATATAAGAATGACACAAAGTTATCAAAAGAAGTATGGAAATAAAAAAAAAAACCTTACACCTTTTATCAGGTGGAAGATTGTTAAACAATGCAAACCATACAACCCAGCAAGAGTTTGCAACCTCTGTTTGAGTGAGAAGTTTCTAATTTTGATGTATAAAGGAGATAACCTACCTATATATATATATATATATATATATATATATATATATATATATATATATATATATATATATATATATATATATATATATATATATATATATATATATATATATATATATATATATATATATATATATATATATATATATATATATATATACATCAAATATGTCAAGTATGTTAGTGTATTTATAAAGAATTTCTTAATGTTCTTAAGAACAGAGCAGTAATTGTTTAGCAAAAAAAATCTAGCATGAGCTTGGAAGCTCAAGTAAGGGAAGTTCAAGTTATATAAGTACTTTATATATATATATATATATATATATATATATATATATATATATATATATATATATATATATATATATATATATATATATATATATATATATATATATATATATATATATATATATATATATATATATATATATATATATATATATATAAAGTAGCTTTCATAAATTTAGACGCATTCATTTTTTTTTTCATATATGTAAGAAAATACTCAAAATAAAAATAAAATAAAAGTGCTACCGCTATGTTTGAATTATAATTTAAAAGAGGAAATGAAACTCTATTATAGAGTACCTTAATTTTTTTTACAGGATGTTTATTACTCATTCTATACCGATTAACACAAAAAAGTTAATTGATAAACTTGATTTTATTTTGTTCATAAATTTAGACGCGCGAATAAAAAAGTCTTATATCTTGTTAATTGATAGTTAATTAGTAGTTTTTTTCTCATATTTCTCATTAATAGGCTTTAATCAATTGATTTTGTCAAAAAACCTTATATAAATATGACTTACCTGGAATTAGTTAATCATTATTTAATAAATAAACAAAAGTTAAGTTAGTTTTGCACTAAAAAGACGCGAAAAATGGACAAAAGACGTATCACTCAAGGTGAAAGATGGCAAATTATTGCGCACATCAAAGAAGGAACCAAAAGTAATAGAGAAATCGTCAAGTTAATTGGAGTTTCTGAGAAATGCGTTCGGACAACGAAACAAAACTTTCTTCACACTGGTGGTGCCAGCGAGAAAACAAGGACATGTAGACCTTTGTCAACCACGAGAAAGGACGATAGTGTTCTTTTTAGAGCTGTCAGAGCTAATCCAAGAATTAGTTACAAAGAATTGACCACATAATTCAATACAACGCGAAATACATCTATTTCTCAAAGCACAGTCCGACGAATACTTATCAAATACAAGATTGGAGTCTACACTGCTTTGAAGAAACCGCTTCTGCGTCCATATGATAAACAAAGGAGACTAAAATGGTGTCGTGAAAGAAGGTATTGGACAATAGCTCAATGGGAAAACATTATGTGGAGTGATGAGAGTAACTTTGAGCTTATCAATCGCAAATCTAACATAACAGTCAAAAGAATGGCTCACGAAAAGTATTACGCCAGGTACATTAGACCAACTGTACAAAGTAAAGGAGGCTCGATAGGAATCTGGTCATGCTTCAATTACAAAGGTGTTGGTATGTGCCAAACATACACCGGAAGAATCAACTCCAGAATATACGTAGAAGTACTGGAAAACAACCTAATTCCATCAATTGACCTGCTTATGCTCAATGATAAACCATGGAAACTTCAACAAGATAGCGCTACTGCACATACTGCATACTATACAAAGGAGTGGTTCAACGATAATAATATCATAACAATTCCAGGGCCTCCATATTCACCTGATTTGAACCCGATTGAAAACATTTGGGCTTGGATTGACCGTGAATTAGCAAAGGTTCAAATTTCCACACTTGGTCAGCTGAAGGAATTCCTTAAGGAGACCTGGTATGGGGTCCCAGAAGCGATGTGCAAAAATCTTGTTGAGTCTATGCCTAGAAGAGTTCTTAGTTGTATAAAAGCAAAAAACGGATACACAAAATATTAATTGGTTCATAAATTACGCCTTCTAATGAATCGTGCGTCTAAATTTATGAATAATTTTTTTTGTCTAATTTTTTTAATACCATGTAGTTGTACCTAATTATTACTTAGTATTTCATTTTTTTTGTAAACTTTTTTTAAATTTTGTATTCTGTATGTATTTATCTGATAAATAGAAAAAAAACTAAACCGAAATCTTTTTTCGTCATTGTTTTATTGTTAAAAAACTAAAAATTTCTATTCTCAAATATGAGTGCGTCTAAATTTTTGAAAACCACTGTATATATACATATATATATATATATATATATATATATATATATATATATATATATATATATATATATATATATATATATATATATATATATACATATATATATATATATATATATATATATATATATATATATATATATATATATATATATATATATATATCATGCAGATTTATTCAAGCACTGTACTATTATGATAAATAATAATACTAAACTAAAATATAATATATAATACATATAAAATACAAATAAAATATAATATATAATATAATACACTAACATTTTTCTAAACAGATTTGAAAGCCATGCTGCTGCTACTACTGCTATTGTTAAAGGAAATGGTTCGGAACTAAATGGTGCTATTTTGAAGGTAATTTAACTGGTTTTAAATTTAAAGTTAGTTAAATTTATTTTTAATTGACAATATATTAATTAAATGTATCTATAATAATCAGAAGCTGTAAGCATAAAATTGTCTTGCATCATGACAAGTTGCCAGTTTAAATTAGTTTATAAAACATAATTTATATAACCTAACTTATATTTTATATAATTAAACTTATAACAAAAATTTATACAAATATTATAAAGTAAAATTAAACATTTTTTTTTTCAAGTGTACATAGATCTTCCTATTGATTTTAGAATAGATGCTCATCTGTTATCTTTTGTATAATCTATAATCTCTGGGTATAATAATGAGATAATGTTTTCCTGCTAATTTTAAATTTAAACAAATTACAAATTTTAGGAATAGCACTCCCATTCCTTTTCTTTTGGAAAATGAAAAATTTGTTTTTAGTACTAATAAAAAAAGATTATAGAAAAATAAAAATAAATAACTACAACTGCAAAAAACAAGTAACTGCAAACTTATCTTAAAATAAGAATTCGTTATTTGTAGAATATTATTTAACTAAAAAAGAATATTTATTTTTAGGAATGTACCATAAAATTATCAGCTTTTATAATGTCTGATATATTAGTAATAATAATATAAACAATAATAAATTTGTAATATATTTACAATAAGATATAATAATTGATAAATAATTTAATATAAACAGTGATGAAAAATCCTATAATATAATAACTAAATTATTCTATTAAATGGCGATGAATTGTTTTAATAAACAGTGTTGGTGGGGAAAAGATTCTGAAAGTCATCAAGCTGGCGGTGACAGTTACCATCAAAGGTTTCAACAACACCAACAAAGTCTACAGCCTACACCCATTACTGATCAACAAACTTATGAACTTCAACAACAACAAATGCAACAATATATGGTAAATTTTTTTGTATAATAAAATTTTAGATTGATTTAAATAAGTAGAATTCTTCATTCTAAATTTTAGATTATTTTTGATGACTAGAATTTTTCATTTTAAATCATCAGTCATTAAAATATTGTTTTTATTTTATAATTTTAAATAAATTTCGATGACTAGAATTTTTTATTTTAAATCATCAGTCATTAAAATATTGTTTTAAGCTTGCTTTGTTACAATTATAAGTTTTTTGAATAAAAAATATTTTTAATTAACGTAGTTGTTTAACTTATATAGTAGTGGTGTTTAACTTATGTAGTAGTGGTGGACAAGTTGATCTTAAACTAGAAAATCAGAAATTTATTTTAGTTCAGGGTAACGGGTGGTTACTAAAAATCCGGACAAACTTTCAAGTGCAATTACTCCCAAAATTTTTATAGTAGAGATTAAATAAAACTATCATTAAAAAGAGTTTTTAGTTATTTATTTATTTTAATTAAGTTTGTCTTCAACCAGTCTGTTTCTTCGGATTCGGGCAACTCTTACACAAGTTGACCCAAAAAGTGAAAATACAAGGTTAAGGTCAATTTTTTCAGGCAAAGCTTTATTCTGGTTCGTAGTTGTTTCACGTCTTTTGCTTGCCAGTTATTCTCATACACTTTGCCTTTCAAAATAGCCCAAAAGTCTTCGATTAGGCGACACTCCGGTACGGCTGGCGGATTGTCAACTTTTTTGATAAAATTGATGTTATGAGTCTCGTAGCAGCTGGTCACGGTTTTGGCATAATGCGATAAAGCCAGGTCCGGCCAAAATATGTAATTACTATCGGCATGATAAGCGTTGATGAACGGCACTAATCTTTTCCTAATACAATTCATTTCATAGATGGCTTTATTGACTGCAAGGCCGCTGGGTATAAAAAATGGTTTTGAAACACCTTTGTCAGAAGCGGCCAGCCAGACAAGCACCTTGGGTTCGAACTTGCGCTTTTTGCAATATTTAACACTTGGTGGAGTCTTGTATCTGTTGCTAGAGTAGTAGGTGCTGTTTCCATTAATTGTTGAGCGTGAAGTAAGACTCATCGTCAAGGATGACCGATTTTCCTTTAAAAACGCGATAAAGGCCAGTTTTGATATGCTCATTCTGGTTCTCTTGTCGATGAGGTATACCTTTATTTGTATAACTTTTGATGTCAGTGTACTTGGCAAGAGTTTTAATGATATGTGAATGACTGCATCCAAATTTTCGACCAGCTTGCCTCATCGAAACTCGGTCACTGTGATCAAATATGGCTTTCAGGCGCTTGATCTTAGGGGTCATGATTTTGGCCACACGACCACTTCCTTGCACTCTTTTGTGCCCAGAATCATTCTCAACACGTTTGATTATATCATAGATAGTGCTTCTTGGGATTTTTTCAGCATTGAAGTGAGCTACTGTGAACTTTTCACCTTGCAATTTGTTATTCAAATAGAACTCGTAAATTCGTTTTCTTACCTCTTCTTGCTTGGTCATCATTATTTTTTTAATTATTATTAATTATCTAAAAAAAAAATTAACTTATAGAGAATTAAATAAGCTATAAAATGGATATAAACATGAATAAAAAAGATTTAGCTTGTGGCATTTAAAATTCAGTTAAAGTTTGTCCGGATTTTTAGTAACCACCCGTTATTAAATTATGTTGAATAGGTTTTAAAGCATGCATTTATGTTTATTTTAGTAAGCAACTGGGGCTGATATTTAAATGGGGATAAGGCCAGGTTTAATAAACCATAGATGGGACCGGGCTGCCAAAAAACCCTATAAATGAAATATTTCATCTCAGATTGAAATTCATGTTATGTTTATAAATACATTTATGCTTACTTTTTACCACTTCTAAACAAAACAACTTTGTCAGACTTAATGCAGTGAATGGTATGTTAAAAAGTTATTTGGTGTGTGTATTTAGGACATATTGATGTTATTATATGTTAAGTTTCATATTTTTACTTGAAGTTTTGCAACCATTTTAATGTTATTTTTTTTTTGTCATGACGGTCGTAACCGTGACGGTTGTAATGAAAAATCAAACGCTTAAAACAACTAATAAAACAACACAATCAATGATTTAAGAAAAAAAAGCATAAATGATTATTACTAATCATGTATATTATGTTAAAAAAATGTACAATAGCATTATAATAAAATATTCTAGTCGAAGCTAAAAAACTCTGCTAGAATTATTGTTTAACCTGGGCGGGGTTGTAAAATACCCTAGATTTGGCCAGGGCTTCAGCCCTGGTTGTTCACTTCCTAGGTTAATTAACCAACATTTTGCAAGAATAAAGGTATAAATTTTGATATTTTTAATAACTCTATATAATATAATATGATCTCGCATACATATATAAGCTAAAATGTTGAGTTCCACATTTGATATAGAGTATTTCAGTATCAAGAAATCTTCAAAAATCAAAAAGTTTCAAAAAAATTATGAAAGTGAGTGGTTAGTAAAGTTAAGTTGTTTAAGGTAATACCTAAAGAATCAAAAAGTATTAGTATTGTGACTGTAGTGGCCTGGGAAAGAATTATATAAAATTATATAATTCATGTTAATTATGATTTAGGTGATTATTTTATATATTTGATAAATAAGTTACTAGTACTTATCTTATAAAGATTTTCTAAAAAAATTTTGATTAAAAGTTAAAAGTTCTGAATTTTAAATACACTAAAGTAACTTTTTGCCAGCAATTAAGTTTCATCAAAATCTAATATGTTTTTTGAGAGTTCACTTAATATGACTCTAAAATAAGAACTTACTAATTTAACCTTTTTGTTTAAACTGCATGTTTACACAAAAAAGTAAAAATTGTTTTATTTTAGTACAATGTCTACTATCAACAGCAATATTATCAATACTGGATGCAACAATATCAACTAATGCAACAGCAAGGTGTTCAAGCTACACCAGCAAATTATTATTATAATCAACAACAACAACAGCAACAACCTTGTTACTCACCACAGCCAACTACTTTACAACCAGTACAGCAACCAGTAGGAAGCCCACCTTCTTACCAACAACCTAACCAGCAGTAGGAGTGTTTCTTTTTAAACATGGAAAAACTATAAAATATTAAGAAACTAATATTTCTTATTAATATGTAAATGGTGTCAATAAAACTTCGAATGAAAGTGTAAATAGGAAATGTTAGCCAAAATGTGGTTTTAATTTTTGTGGCGCTTAGAAATATTAGATTTTATAGATTAGTTAATGTGAAAAACAAGATTAATAATAATTTGAGGAATCAAAAATGCTAAAAAATGCAACAAAAAGAATTTAAAATTATTTTATATAAAACAATTAAAAAAAAAAAAAATATCAAACAGTTAATGAAATTGGAAAAAAAAAATTTTTTTTCTGTCTGTATTTGTAAAACATCAGTATTTGTAAAACATTTTAATTTAAATGATAATTTTATTAGGGAAGAAAATGATTTCACATTTAAAAGGCTTTTTGTTGTACTTTTAAATAAACTTATTTTATAAGTTTGAACTGATTTTTTATCAAATTCACTTAAAGGTATTTTTAAATGATTTTTTTAAAAAAAGTTTGTAGTGATATCAGTATAATGATAATTTTTTTTTAACTCAAAATAATTTAAAAAAACTTATTTAAAATAGTATTTTTATAAAAAATTCTGTTTTAAATTCAATAAAGTTTAAAATACAATAAATCTAAAAAATTTGCTTTTATAATTGTATTTAAATTTGTTTTCCAGAATTCATTTTGTTTTAGATTTGCATTATATTTTTATACTATTCAAGAATAATATTATATTTAATATAAATAGAATATAATTTTTTTTTATAGAAATTAGTAAGTTTTGTACTTTCAAAATTTTTGGTATTTATTATATCTTAAATTTTCATATTTAAAAAAAGATTTAAAAAAATATTATTTTAAATAAGTTTACAAAAAGTTACAATATTTACTATTATTACGATTTCTAAGTATTGCAATATTATATTACTAGTAATAATATAACATTAATAATTATTATATAAATAATACTATTAATGTTACAATGTTACTATAATAATTGTATATAAATATATCAATTTTAGAAAATAATAACAAGTGAATAATTTTGTTTTAAAGAGGTTAATGAATAAAATGGTTTGCATTAAAAATTGCTTTATATTTAATAATAGATAATTAATATAAAATGTCTGAAGAAGAAGAAGAACAGGTTGTGGATAATTATAATGGTTTAACACCTCCTGCTATGCCACCAACTATTTCACAGCCTTTGCATCCAACAGTGCACCAATCTATTCCTTCTGCTTTCCCTAACGTATGTATTTTTTTACATTCTAAGATTTTTTTACAATCTAAGGTTGTACCTTTTTATCCTGTTGTTTAGTTAACAATTAGGGCTATTTTATGAGGGATACAAGTCTGAAGGTTTTAGGCATATAAAAAGATTTCTATATTATAAAAAGATTTTAAAGGTATTCTCATGTATTCGAAGACAATGTTTATTTTGTAAATAAACATAAGAAAATAAGTTTTAAGTTAATTAAAGTTACCAAAATAACTATTGTGATATTAATAAAAAACATTTGTTGTTTTGCCATTACACTTCCGTTAGAGAGGTAATATTAACTTCACAAATCTTTATAGTTTTTTTTTTTTTTTAAATATGGTTTGAATAATAAATGTTCTTACCACAGAGTTTTTAAATCTATTTGCACTATTGCACAATTAGATTAGGTTTTCCCAATTTTTCTTCTTTTTTACAATTGTTCTAAATTATTTAAACTTGAGACTTTTGACAAAATGAATTATAACTAAATGAAGAATACAGCTTTTTTATTTTTTTTAAGTACATTAAAATAATTTTTTTTCAGTTACTGTGAAAACAAACTTATTTGCATATTTATTTTTACTAAATCCAAAAAAATATTTATCTATATATTTAGTTTAAAGATTTTATTAGCAGAACTTGTTGTTAACAACTATCAAGATTTTTAAATATTATATATATATATATATATATATATATATATATATATATATATATATATATATATATATATATATATATATATATATATATATATATATATATATCTTTTATAGCACTAATATTAGTTTTTACCTCAATAAATAATTTTATTGGAAAGTTTAACCAGAAACTTATCTTCTTAGGATTATTTATTGTATGAACACAACCTTTCTTAACACCTGAAGATTCATTTAATGTTTATTAAAAACAACAATTTCATAATATATTTTATAAGTAAAAAGTTTAAATAGTTGAAATGTAAGCATTCATTTTTTTAGTTGATTGTAACTCATTTTTAGTTTGCTCAGAGCTTTCAGTCTCCATTACACCCACCTTTTGCACCTATGCCATCTCAAAGTAACACTACTTTACCAAAACCACCAATATTTGATAAAGATGGCCAGATATGGTTAGAGGCATGTTCTGCAGAGGGAAAGGTTTACTATTTTAATGCAAAAACAAGAGAAACACGGTGGACAAAGCCAGAAGATTTTTGCTTAAAATCAAATGAGGAAGAAAAGTGTGAAGAAATAGATGTACACTTTTTTAATTTGACATTTTTTTTTTCTGTTTTATTTTTCTTCCAAAAAATTTTGTTTATTATTTTAAATTTTTTTAAAAAGATTTTTAAATACTTTTGTAGAAAACAGAAACGGAAGTTAAAAATGATGGTGACAATACAACTGCTGATCCTGCAGAAACACAAACTTCTTTACAATCGCAACCTCCGATTCAATTTTCACCACAACTTTTGCCAGGAATGCCTCCATTTGTTCTGCCAATGATGCGGCCACCACCTGGGTAAATATCAAAGAACATTCTTATTTATTTAACCCTTTCTGGCCTGAATTATGCAAATGTAATTTTAAAAAAAATTTTTTCTTGAAAACACACCTATTATAAGTCAAAAATCAAACCCAGACAGAAAAAATTATATAAAACATTTCATACAGCAAAAGATAGCTATGTCGCGTATTGTACACAACAGGCCACAACGGCCGTATAAGACAAGGTACAATAACACAGTTATCAACAGTTATTCGTGAAACTGGCGAAAACAGTTACTCTTCTTTGAAAGGCAAAGATTTGCATTGCACTTAGTGCATACAAAAACAGTTTGTCCTTTGCACCCTGGACGCTTGCACCTCTGCCTCACACCATGTGCCGGCCAGTGACCAACAGAGTCTGTGCGAACATCCTGAGTTGGCACAGGCTTAGCAGGTCCCCTCTTCTTCTTGCGCTGCAGCTCTGCCTCCATACTGGTTGATGGTCTGCCACGCTTCTTTGCTGTCATGTCTTTGCCTTCACGACAAAGAGCATCAGCTATTTCAAGCTTGAAGGCCATAAGATCCTTCTGCTGACGCTTATCAACTCCCATATCACGACAATCCCGGCGATACAGTAACCAGCCAGTTGCCACTGCCAAGTCCACAAAATGGAAAAAAAAGCGGTGGTAATATTTCTTTGATTTCAAGTGGATCCGATACCTCGCCATGATGGCATCCAGGGTATCAACTCCTCCCATGAACTTGTTGTAGATCTGTATGATTTCTGGGCGTGGCACGTCAATATGCTGCTTTGTAGTACGATCCCACCGCCTCGCAGTTGACACTGGTTCTGCACTAGCAAATGTACTGGCTAGTGTTACAGACTTGTTGTCAAACCACTTGACAACTCGAACTTCGACACCATTGACCACACCCTCTCTTTCTTCAAATGAGCCACGCCCTTTCTTCTTCAGAGTTGCATCAGCAATCATCTTGCAATTCTGAAGACGATTCGCACGAACTGTCCCAACTGCTAATATGTTCCTATTAGCTAGGGCTGACAGCAACTTCAGTGACGTAAACCAATTGTCAAAAAACAACAGGTACTGCTTCTCTTGCGGCAAGACCTCGACCAGCTGAAGCACAATGTTGCCACTGGCACCAATGTTTGCTTGATTGGATGCTGCCTGAATCTTTCCAGTGTATATTATGAAATTATGCACAATTCCAGTCACATCACACAGCATAAACACTTTATAGCCCCATTTGTAGGGCTTGCTCGGAATGTACTGTTTCATTCCCGACTGTCCCTTGAATGGGATAATTTGTTCATCCACTGACAACTTATGGTCAACTTCCAGTGAATGGAACTTTGGCAAGAGAGAGTCAATCAACGGACGTATTTTGAACAATTTATCTCTCTGAACGTCATCTGGAGCAAGCATATTTCCATTGTCGTTGAAGTGAAGATTACTTTTCAGTTCAACCCACCTGTCACGTGACATCACATCTGCAACCTGTGACAAACGCGATGCTTTGCCCCAGTACATCTTACTTCTTGGCAGATTAAAAATAGACATGTACATAGTCATACCAAGAAACTGTTCAATTTCATCCTTGGAACAACCAATAGGCTTATTTACATCTTTTTGTGTTGCATACAGATTGGTGTGATCAGTAATGTGTTCCACCAACCCACTGTCAAAGAAGTAACGAAAGTACTCCACTGGCGACTTTATGGTATCAGCAGAAGCACGTTGATCAGCAGACTCTGGCATTGACTTTGCAGATGATTGGCCAGTAACACATTTCCAAACAGTAGATCTTCCAACAGCAGCAGAAGTGGAAGGCTGCTCATCATCGCTGCTGTCTTGCTGGTCAGATACTTCGTATTCTTCTGTATCGTCACCAGATGATACTTCAGCAACTTCATTGTCACTCGACGAGAGCTCATCATCATCACTTTCTGCAGGAATGTTACGAACAAAACGAGCTGTTGTAGCAGTCTTCTTGTAGAACTGAACAGGCTTCATCTAAAATCAGAATACAATTTATGCTATGATTAGTATTGGTATCTAGTATTATATATCACTATGTTTGCAATAAAAAATACAAAAAAAATATAAAATATGCACAGATACAAAAATAATATCAATATCACTACTAACAGAACAATCATTATAGCAAATACTATATCACAAATAATAATAGTAATAATATTACAAATCATAATATAGCCCAAACTTGCCCTAATTACTAACTCTAGCCTAACCCTAAGTCGCACCTCAGACACTCTATAAAAGTATAGCAGATATAATTGGTATCTATAAGAACACTAAACAAATATATAATAACTATACTAAAACATGGCTATGATACTATTGTAGCTGCTTGTATTACCAGCAATAATAATAATAATATTAGTAATAAATTATTATTATTATTACTACTATTAGTATTATAATTATTATTCCTAGTAGTAATAAAATTGAACACTATTATGAACATGGTAAAATATAAATATATTTCACCATAACAAATCATAAACAAATAATCTGTCATTCCAGCATGTTATATCACACAATACTAAGCTGAAGAGTGTCAATTTTGTATCTGTTATATTCAATGCTATGCCCGATTGTGTATAATTCCACACATACAAAAAACACCACATAAAAATTTATTCCTGCAATCCAGCTACAAATTCAAGGTACTACTATACAAAGACACCACTACTACATAAAATCCATAACATTTCATGGTTATAACTAACCTGTATAACTCGGAATAGTCAGGTCTTCCGTCTCGTAGTAACACCGTAGACCTTCTCACAAAATCCCTGTAAACAAAGCTCGAGCCAAGAATCCAAAGTAAGAACGTCATTGGTTCAACGATTTTATCGTCATCCTAGGTATGTGTACAATACGCGACAACCGGTCATAACGTTCTAAACGCCACTGCTATTAAAGCAGCGCGTGGATCTCGGTATGTGTAAAATTCTACACAACCGGCCAGAAAGGGTTAAAAATTAAGTGTTTAATTGAAAACTTTTTGTTATTGAGTTATGGAAAATAAATTTTTAATTAAAGTGTGTTATAGTATGTAAAACTTCAAACAACTTTGAATTGAAATTTTTAAGCTTTAAATTGCTTGATTTTTTTTTTTTTTAAATTTTGAATGAGAATATTCTTTTCATTCTTTTAAATTATTACGCCCTGTTTAGTTTTGTCACACGTTAAGTTTAACCTGTGCACAATACTTTTGCCCTAAAGTCTGTAAAAAATATGTTTATATATTTTATTTTAAGCATGATGTTACCTGGATTTTCTACTGGATTTCAATCTCGACTTCCACTTACTATGCCGCCACGATTTCCTCCACTTCCTGCTGGTTTTCGTTTACCTCTTGAGTTTGTTCCAAAAACTATTGGTGATTGGACAGAGCATAGGTTACCTGATGGTCGGTTGTACTATTTTAATAATAAAACTCGAGAATCAAAATGGGATAAACCAGTTGAGTTTTCAGAAAAAGGTATTAGTTTTCTTCTTTTATATTTTTTAGTTAAAAAGTTAGTTCTAAATTGAACACCAAGTACTTTTTTGTATCAAAAAATTGATGCACTGAAAAATTAACTTTGATCACTAAAATTTTACAAGTTAAAAATATGGGTTATAAAAATAACAGTCAAAATCTGGTTTTTAAAAAAATTTTTAGTGGTTCAACTCTTTCTTACTCTGCTCTTATCAAAAAAAAAAAAAAAAAACATATACCAGTCATATTTTCTGACCCATATTTTGTGTGTAATTATTTTATAATTATTTTTGGTGTTATAATATAAGTTTTATATATAAAACCAAGAGCAGACCCCCCTTCTTTCCTCCTTTCTTTTTAAAGTATTTTGGAAATAATATTTTTATTTTTATTTTTTATTTTTATTTTATGTTTAACACAACATGTTATATATATATATAGGTTATCAATATCAGTGGTGTACACTGGATTTTTAGATGTTTGAATTTTGACACTTACACACATTTTGCAAACTCCAAACTTTTGTATGTTCATACTTATGTCAAATAAGAATGTTTTAAAAAAAATTGTGGTGATTGGAGCTTGGGGACAAAAAAAACCCAATTTTTGGGCCCACCCAGCCCTTAACGTGGGAGCAACAAGTTGATAAAATAATTAAATAAACTTGATAAAATAAACTTTAGTATTTTTATCTTAATTTATATTCATCAACGAATTTCAAACTTCATGCAATAACCTCTTAGTTTTTAGTTTTTATGACCCTACAAAGTTTACAGCCCCCTCAAATTGCGGGGGTTAAAACTTTATAATGTCATAATTTTCGAAAAATAAGAAACTTTTGGATAAAATTTGAAATTTGTTGATGATTATAAACTTAGAATACTAAAAAAAAATTTTATCAACTTGTTGCTCCCACGTTAAGGGCTGGGTGGGCCCGAAAATTGGTTTTTTTTTTGTCCCCAAGCTCCAATCACCACAATTTTTTGCAAAACATTCTCATTTGACATAAGTATGAACATACAAAAGTTTGGAGTTTGCAAAATGTGTTAAAGTGTCAAAACTCAAACATCTAAAAGTCCAGTGTACACCACTGAATGACTTCATTTTATTGTTACATAGATTAAGACAGTGTAGGAATAGTTATTTTTTGATTTAAATTTTTAATTTTTTTATTTAATTTTTTTCAATGGTTTTTATAAATTCAACAAATATTTAGTTTAAAATACTTTATAAACTTCATATACAAAATATTTGGTCTGACAAAATCTTGCAAAAAAAAATTTACAAAAAGTAATTTTTTTTTGGTTTTGTCATACATGTCTTTCAAATCTAAGTATTTATCACACAAATTGTTGATTACTAAAAAGTTTATTTCCAGTCCTTTATATAGTTTTTTTTTTTAAACGACAGTTAATTCAAGTATTATAAATAAAATATTAAAATAGTAATTACTAAAGGTCCAAAAAATATCCCGGTAATTATAAAGTCAACCTATTAAAAATTATATTAATTTTTAATTCTAACTTAAAAACAAGTCTAATCTATTTGCGCATTATACAGAATATTAAAAATTCAATTTTTTTTAGGGGAAACTTTAAAGATTTTTTTAAAAATAACAATGTTTTATATATATATATATATATATATATATATATATATATATATATATATATATATATATATATATATATATATATATTTATTTATATATCTGTGTGTGTGTTAGTTCACCTCCACAAGGCCGTGAAGGCCACTACAGGCGAGAAGGCTACTTGTGGTTGTAACCCTCACTCAACTCTATAATTTCAAAACATGAATCTTGGTGAACAAGGCTGCTGTGCAGAGAAACAAGTTGAGCACAGTATTACCAGGGACGTGGTGGGGATCAAGCTTGTTTTAAATTAGATATTGTTTTAAATCTGTTAGTCATCTTTCCACTCTGTTAAAGTATTAAGATTGTTTTGTAAACTAATATTAACTAATAGCTGATTTAATGACTGTTTTGTCAGAATATTAGATCTAAAACTAAGCCTTGAGGAACTCCACTATCAATTTTCTCCCAATCTGAAACAGATTCTTTAACTATTCTTTGAAATCTTTTACTTAGAAAATGTTTACATTGCAGTAATATATTGTTTCTAATCCAATCAAGCTTTACTAATAAAATAAATTTGATAGCTTTTTTAAAATCTAATAATAAACCATCAATATTGTACTCTGTGATAAAATTACCTGTTTCAAGAAAACTAGTAGTCCAGTTTTTTTTTAATTAAAAAATGTTGTTGTGCTGTATTTTATTTTAAATTTATGCACTATTAAGTGTTTCAAATTTACTTTATTATATATTTGCTTTATTTAAAACAATTTTTGCATTTTTTTTATACACCTCTGTCTTTAATTTTATATAAATATTTGCACCAGAGAGTTACAAGCATTTAGTTTATGTTTATGTTTGATTCATAAGAAGTTATTGAGTAAAATTAAAATGAGATATAAAAAATATAAACTAAAAGATATAAGATATAAAATAAAAGATATGATATAAATGTAGCAGCAATGTCTTATATTTAAAATATTTTTTCACCTCTAAATTCCTGTTTTGATTTGGTATCAGTCAAATTAAGTCTTTACAGTAAATATTTAATTTATAGACCATCAAAAAGTTAAATTTTAGTAAGTTGAATTATTAATTTAATTTTAAAATATGAAAAACTTTTGTCATTTTTACTTGAAATATTTCACGAGGTTCCTCTGATCCAA